AATAATAATGTAGTATTTTACAAGTATAAATTATAATTTTAATCTTCTTATAATTTTATTTAACATTATAATCTTATTACTATAATACGTATATATATATATATATTTATAGATGTATATATAATATCAGAAATAATTTTAAAACTATTTTCAAAAATCTTTAAATTTAATCTATTGTTATTGTTCGTTTTTAATGCCATTATAAAATAACTTAAGATATTTTCCGGTGAGCGCATACGAATTTATTTGATCAAGTCTATGGAAGCAAAATTGTTCTTTAAATATAGCAGTTGCGTCCAATGCTATTAAATAGTGGTAGTCTTTGTTCTAAACTAAAAGCCAGTAAAATACATTTATTTAGCTGTATAATTAGAAATCCAGCGGTATAACCTCGAAAATTTTCCATATCTTCCTAAAGTATTGCTGGTAGCACGATCTCCCTTTTACTCTCGGGAAGATAGATTTCTGAGAAGTATTTCTTGAAGGAATAAAAGAAATGGCGGCTCAGGGTAAATATTTCTGAGACTTAAAAGGGGGAAGAGAAAAGGAGAGATGTGTCGAGCAGCAGCATTCACGCGAGATGGAAACATATCGTATGCCTAAATTCGAATTGAACTAAGCAATAAATTCACTGAATTCATACGGATGCCATTGGAATGTATTTTATTTTCTAGTTGGCACATAAGATCGAGAAAAGTGATGGCAAGGGATCGGGAGGACGGAGAGATACAACCATGTGCGCAGCGAAGGTGAAAGGATAACGTGAGAGTAAAGAACGAAGGCTCAGTTGCTCGTTTGTGAACGCTGCTTAACATCTAAGGACCGCTTGACCTTAAGTAGAATGGAAGCAAAAAGGAATTTATGTTACTCGCCTTTTCCCGTCGGATTTTGCCGTGAGTGTGAAGAACGCGACCGTTTCTTTTTCTTGTCACTTTACAAGCTCAAGTCGAGTTTTGTTGCGTTAGCTGCTATTTGTAATGAGTCCTACGAATACTATTTGCGTCGTCCCTGGGCGATTCTGTAAGTCGTAAAAGGAGTCTCCTTATATGTTCATTTTTATAATCGTGCTTACACTACACCTGTGCATTATTGTTATTTGATTGTATCAATCATATTTTTGCTTTCATAGTGGTATATTTACTGTGTTTAGTACTGATAAAGTTCCATGAAATGAAGTTATATATTTTTTAATGTAATGTAATAAAATTTAGCTTAGAATAAGTGTTATAATAAATTATTTTCTTCCGTTTAATTATTTTTATGTATTTTGAAAATTATTACAATTTTCAATGGAGTTAAATACACAACGCATTGTGTCTCAATTCTTATTTGTGAAATAAACATGGCATATTCTAATATTGTACTTCAATGCAATGTGGTTAATAAGTATCTTAGTTTATAAAAAATCGTTTGGATTTTATGATAGTGAAATAAACTGGTAAATTATATTACTGGAAAGATGCTTGACCTAGACTTTTTCTTAAATCGTTGATAAAATAATACTTGATTAATCGGCAGCTGAAATCCCATTAGTTTATTCCTTCCTTACATCCACATAAGAATGAATGTTCTTGTTTGGGCTGTCGGACACATTATTAATTACAATTTGTCACTCATGTTTGACAGCTTTTGAACAATTGAACTTGCAAAAACCAAGTGCGTAAAGTGACCCATACGCGTATACACGATAATGGGAGGTTTTCCATTATGTAGTGAATGGTATAATTACCGATGATTTGAACTTTGTAAATACGTATATAAGAGGGGCATAACTTCTCCAAAAAAAATTTATATTTCTAAATTCGTATAGCCACTTTATTTATTTTACCATTGCATCAAGATTATTGTATGTTTTTATTTCATAACGATTTACAATTTTGCGATTTGAAAGCTTTATTATAAGTAACAAAATATGATACTATAATTTATAATTATAAATTCAGGCGATATTTTGTAATTATTATAAAATCCTCTTTTATTAATTTATGAAGATTTTCTAGTACGATATTAATATTAAATTAAGAATAACGAAGAAAAAACTTTTCAATTTTCCAATATTAAAAAGAATGTTTTTCCATGTTATCCAAATCGGTTGTTTGAATAATCACTTTTTTAAATATTACTAGAATGCTCTATGCCATTATAATTACTATGTATATAAATTAGTTCACAACAGATATACATATTAAGACCATTATTTTATAAATAATTGACATAAAAAGCAATTAATTTAATTGTGCGTTACTTATTTTTTTCTTGTCTTTAACATTCTTATACATCCAGAAATTATTCAAATACACGAAACTACCGATTGATGTGATATGCTGGTTTTTATTATTTGATTAATTTTTATTATTTTTATTATTTTTGTTATTTATTAAGTTATATTAAAAATATAATAAAATTGAGCCTATTTGATTTTCTATGTAATAAAAAATGTTAATTTTTTAGCTGCATTGAAAATATCTAATAATGTATATATAATAGTCCTTTGCAGGTCAATACCATTATTATTGATTTTAGTTTTCTTACTGGATTATATATATATTACAACGATACACAGATAATATTTACAGTCGATCATTCTATTTAATAATAAGACATACCGAGCATCATTGCATCATTGATTCACATGGCTCTGATTTATATAAAATCTATTAAATTTTACTTTTAACAGATTTTCATGTAAGTTTTCTGCAATCAAAAAATATAAAATTATATTATCTTATTTTCAATTTTATCATTATTATTTCCACTTATATCTAAGTTCTTTTAGATCACTAAAATAGATATAAGAACTTTATATTAATAAAAAATAATTAATATAATACGAAATAAATATAATAAGAAAAAATTAATGCTTTTAAACATAATGAACAGGGTCCTGTAGTAGATTTTTAGTAACACAAAATTGTATGATTATATAATTCAGACACGAATTCAGTTTCGAAAATGGAATTTAAAAGGTATCAATTTATTAAGTCAAATACATTATCGTAAATTTCATAATATTTATAATACAAATCTTTATAAATAATAATACGACAATGGTAGATGGAATACTTTGAATACATTTTTTATAATATTTCTCTATTGATTACCAGTTTTATTTCCATGTAATTGGCTTTTATTTATTACGTTTATTATTTATTAACGTATTTGTTTGTTATATTTCAAATATTATATTGTTTTATAGAATTTAGTACTTGTATATTTTCAATTTATCATTTATAGTCATATATAAATTATAAATATATACTTTCATTAATTTATAAATAATTTTTCACAAGTTTTTGCAATTTTCCAGTTTCATTAAAACGTGAAAAATGAAATATAGCCTTTATAATATATACATAGAATTTCAAAATATATTTATAATCTTTTTATAATAAATTAAGAATATATATATATATATATGTTTGGAATTCCAGCTACCAGTATGATCGCAGATCACGGTGGGTGGATTAGACTATTTTGGATGGTGGATTAAATTAAAATATTGCGCTTTAATCTAAATGTGATATATTGGAATCGTATTTAACAATAAATTCTTATTTTCTATTGGGTGGTTCAATCCTGAACAATATATATATATATATATACAGTGAGAGACACAGAGAGAGAGAGAGAGAGAGAGAGAGAGAGAGAGAGAGAGAGAGAGAGAAAGTATATTTGACGAAATGGAAGGACTTAAGAGTGTCCTTTTTAACGAAATTTGGCGTTTATATTTACAGATATTAGTATTATCTTTGCTCGATAAATGGAAATAATTTTTTTGTTAAGCTAAATCGCCCCACTGAAGTATCATTAATAATTATCGAAATACATGTGACAATATACTTTCATACATTTTTTATTTCTGTTTATTAATATAAATGATCATACCAATTGCTCAGCGCAGTAGGCACTTATTTCTGAATCGAATTAGCAAATAATCATTAACACTAACGAATGTGCGAATAGTAAAGATGATAAGTGAACGACTAAGAAGCGAGATATATCCTGTTGTTTATGTACGTCGACTAATCAGCCATATTACTCCATAATTTTCGTTCCTTGTCAATCATAAGAATAATGAGAAAAATCGAGGTAGCAAGTGACGCGTGTCCTGTCCTATTTATTTTATCAGGTCAGCGGTGTCGAGACTAATGCTCGACCTCGAAACCTGAGGTGACTTGCGCACCAAAACTGCTGATGTTGCTCCTAGCAGCTGATCGTCAAGCAATCAATAGATTTATTTCCATATGTCTCTCTGCTGTTATTGCAGCGCTTCCTGCATTGATAATACGAACGAGTCCAGTAACGGTGTGATAATAGTTCGACGCTAATAATGGATTTTGAAACCCATGCATACAAAAATGATCGCTATCTTTTCATCTTTCGTCTTCTTTTTGGTAATCAAGTCCGAACAGAGACTTACGAACCTGACCTGTGGCGGTTGTTTTCTGGCTTGTTCGAGATTACCCGCGTATTGCTTCGTCAATTTGGCTTTGTTCGGCAGAAGGATGTTTTCATTATTTTCTAAAGACTATCGTCCTAAGAATATTCTAAAGATGTGGTCAATTTAAAAATTCCAATTAAATATAACAGCAGTTAAGACACTGCACAATAAAATTTTTACGTACAACAATTTCACAGATTAAAATGTATCTATTAATGAAATAAAACAATTGAATATAAGAAATTATTTGCAGATTAATTTGTACATGCATAAAAGTGAAAACAAATTCGTTTCATCAAAAACACTCAGAGATAAGGCGGCAATAAACGGTTTGAGGGAAAAATTGGAATAGTTCAAGTTATGATTAGTACGAAAATTGAGGTTTTCAATCACAGAAGAAAGACTAGAAGAGAATATACAAATAAGTGAATTATTCAAATATCTATTTACACATATAGTCCGAGACATTCGGTTTTGCTTCTACTATTATGTTCACCGGTCAATGACCTAGTATGACCGGGTGAAAATGCGTTCGGTGGTCCAGTATAAGTCTCATTACCTTGACGTAGAGCTCGATGGTTGTCATATCGGAGTTGGAAGCTCTGGGGCCTCCGTCCCGCCGCCGATCACGTCGCAGCGGACGATCGCCTGGCACACCGCTCGGACATAATGACACTTGAGCACACGCACACACAATCACTCACGAAAAACCTCTAAACTCAGCCGTGGCGCCGATCCAGCGCCGTCGCGCCAACTGCGATGTCGTACCGCGATCCGCTACCTCCGACGCCTGCGCCGTTCGCAAATCCCCTTCTCTTCATTCGCGACCTCTACCAGCTTCCCCTCCTCCGACGCCAACTGCCACCCCCACCGTCGCCTGGTATTATCCCAGCCACGAGATTGAGAAACATGAGGGGTTGTCTACTCAACGGCTGTTGCTTGTGTCAATTCAGACCGATTGTGTCTCGATTTTCAATTCCAGAATGCTAGTTAGATGGAAATTGGCAAAGGATTTTGTATTCGCCGTTTATTTACCTATCTGCCAAAATTTATAACTCTCGAGGGTTTAAATTAAATTTACCTACGTTGCTTCCGTTTATACTCGGATGTATTCTCCATTCTTCATAGATTCATAATTTTATTAAATAATGTATTTTATGATACACTAAACACATAGCACATATTTGTATACGCATGCGCGCGTATATAATTAATTACAAAATAATTAAATAAGGCTGTAAGAAATTGCCATTAATCGTCAAAGAAATTACAACATATATTACATAATATATTTATGCGGTATGAAGAAGCAGATATCCTCCGGAACACCGTCATATATGATCTATGAGGAAATGTACTTTGTCGGTTACTATTGTAATTCACTAAATTTATGGATAACTATTATTATCCCTTGCAATAAATAACAAATTTTTTATAAGTCTTACGTACTTCGTTTCCTGTATAATTGATAGATTTTTCTAAAGCAGGCGTTTATTCGATTGAATTCAAAGTCAATTCGAAGAGATTTTTTTTTATACATCATATCCGAATTATATTTATTATATTTATTTCATGTGTTATACTTATTTTATAACATATATATATTTATATCCTCCATTATATTTTCTTTATATAAATTCTTATAAATTCGATAAATAACAGAATCCATTAATAATTTGTATCATATAAAATTCACAAATTTTCTTTATTTTTATTAATTTATTCATATATACATGTTTTTTCATTTATTTTTTGAGATCTGCGGGTCAGTGATAGTAATTAAATAATAAGAAAAAATCAAATAATATTTCTTGTATCATTAAACAATAAATTATCCAGTTTTTAAGGTATACATATACAATAATGTAGGATAATGATTTGACATGTTATATATTTAGATTTTTTACATCAAATTTTACAGTTAATTATTCACATTAATTTCGTCGATATTAAATTATATGATTTATTTTCGGATTATTTACATTAATTTCTTCGATATTACATTGTAAGATTTCCTTTGTGATCATTTATAATTAATTTGAAGCAATTCAATCTTATGTAAGCATAAACTTTTTCATTTCACAATAAAATTTTTCTCAATACCATTATGAGATAATATATTATAATTTGTATATTATGAACATGTTATTGTTCATGTATTAATCATATTTGTTTGTTGTTATGTTCTTGAGGGCAATTTTATAAAAATCATCAGCTTATAATACTTTGACAAACGGTATTTATGATTTAAAATCCTTGATTGTGACAAGTAATGTGACTTCTTATATTAATGTTTACGTGCTTTTTTTAGACTTTCTTTTTATGGATTTAGAGAAGCTCCTTAGAGGCAAAATTATCCGATATTATTGTAGAATTCTAAACCATAGTTCTAAATTGATGTTTAAATTTATATTTGCAAAAGATTTTTATTTTTACAAAGCTATGTATTATGAATTATATAATATTTTTATATTGTAAATTCAATATTTCTATAAATTTCAAATTTATATTAATATTGAAAATATTTTTTATAGTATGTTTTTAAATACTTCGTCACTTTTATAGAATCTTTTATGGTTTGTATGATTTTACAATAACGTAATAATTAAATGCTTCTATTTTATTATCATGTTTAATACAATATTTTTATTAAAATCCGTATTAACATAATAAAGTTATTCGATTTTAAATTGATAAAATTGTAAACTCATAATCAATAATGAGTCAACTATTTAACATAAAAGCATTCTACCATGATTACTTGAAAGAAATATATATGTTGATATATGTTGATTAGAAGAAGAAAAATTATTGACAAAAAGTACAGGAATCAATATACAGAAATATTCATAATTACTAGAATTGAATAATCAATTATTATTTATAAGTATGCAGATTTTATAATCATAATTTTTTGTTTGCTTTATTTAAAGCATTCTTACTAAAAAAAAAAAGAAAAACAAGAATATATGGAAATTCGACAGTATGAAATTATAGAAAATTCTTTTCAAATTAATCGAGATGACAAATGGTCCTGTCATTTATAATTGTTTATAAACAGTGAAGTTTTCTATTAAATAGAAAATACAATCGTAATATATATGTAGTAATAAGTTTAAATAGGAGTTTCTACAATTAATTTAAATGTAAAAATTACCTAGTTCTTTTTATCGTAAAATATTTTATTTGATTCTTGAAATAGTTTAAGATATTTTTGTAAAGTCTATAATATAATACAGTTGTTTTTTTTCAGTAACACGTAAAATATTACTACAGTTGTTAATAACGTTTGTAATATTTTAATAATTAGTATAATTATACTGCAGGTTGCGCCATCTTATGACGAAATTTTGAAAATAGCATATTCAGTTAGTTAAAGTATGGTAATTTACAAAAAATTTCGTTCATCTCATGTTTTAAATACAATTATTTTGCAAAAGTGAACAAATTATCCGAAAGAATCGAAAATTATATAATTGAATTAAATACGTTAGATTGTTTATAGTGTCAAATAAAAATAATTCAATAAATTCAATAAATTGATAATTAGAAACCAATAGATATTTCTGTTTGATTTTGAATTGGTCAAATTTGATTAATTACATACATGTTTAACGGCGCGTACTAAAATGTCAACAATCTGACTATTTCTATTGGCTTAGTAACAGCAACAAGATTAATGATAATCCGGGCAACAACGATGATTGACGATGATTGAATTAGAATGAAAATAAAAATATGGTTAACTATTATTATTGAAATATTAAACTAATTTATTTCATATAAATTATATATATATATATATATATATATATATATATATATATATATATTGTGTCATTATAATAATGTTTATTGGATGTATTTGTTGATTTATGTAGTTTTCGGATTTAACATATTTTCATGATATAAAATGTTTAAGACAAATCATAATTGCCGCTCCCCATTAATGACTAATTAAGAAATACATCACTTTAGCATAAATAAATTAATAAAATATAATAGTGCTAAATTATATATAATTGTTGTTTTCTGAGATATCTTTAAAAATATTTTGTAACTTGTTTCTTAATGAAATTAATTACATTAAAAAATATTTTTTAAATTTATTCTTTCCTTTTTTTATTAGAAATTTAGAATATTTCATCCTATAAATTAAATTTATATTGAAAATTAATTTTTTTCTATATACAAATTACTGATTTTGTTAAAATTGTCTTTAGATGAAATATATATTATTAAATAATGTATATTTTTATTGTGTATATTTAATAAGACAAATTTTAATGTACTGTTTTTGGGTTACTTAAAATGGATTGAATAGTCAATTTATTATTGGACATTAAGAGGTGAAGATTAAAATCAAACATATCTTTGAAGACTTTAGTAATAGATAAATTAATGTTTAAATTATTTAAGCGAAAAATTTAATTAATCCGAAATGATATTGTTCTTATAATAATAAGAAATATAGATGAGAATTTGATATGGTATAAATAGCACATCTTACATATTATGTGTTCTTTCTATAGATTTTATTTTTCATATAAACGTGTATAAATTTTTCCTTATATAAATTTGATTTCTTTATATCAATTGCAATTGCAATTTAAAACAACCAATTAATAATCCATTGATAATATTAGAAACTTTATATCATTAAATATAAAAATGAAATATAAAATTATTGTATCAATAGCTCAATTCGTAATTGTCTGAGAATTGCAATTATTTCAAAAGCGTGACCTAGAGATGATGCAGTCTTTATTTAACTTGTATTTAATGTTTTACCAAAGTTTTGAAAGTGCGAACATCAATTACTAATTCTTATCTACGTAACATTAGATCAGCTAAGAACGAGAAACTAAATTGTCGGTCTCGTGGAATCGTTGAAGGATAACCGTAAGCTAAATCAAGCCCAATTCATATGTTCTATTACGTTTATACATGTCATATATATAAAAACGGAATATTAACAAAACACGAGTGCATGAAAACTGGTATTTAATTTCTACGAGTAGATAAGATTAGGCATAGATCGATAGTGAAATATTTTTCAACGTTAGATTTTACATTTAAATAGCTTATTTTATGATTTATGTAATTAATTAAATTTTTTATGTTACTTTTTAATATATTTAAACGGAAAAATAGAAATTATCTTGTATTATATAATATACGTTATAAAATATAAGAAGAAATACTGAACATTTGAATATCTATTCAAATGTTATGCAATACAGGTATTTAAAAGAATAAATAATGTTTGGCATTTCATTGCCATATTGTTGAACAGTCTTAAGGGCTTCGAAATTCTAGTTAACTCTATGCTAAACAATGCTTAATTGAGACATATATTATAGTGGACGTTTATTTCCTAGACAAATCAATTATTTTAAAAATGAATAAAATTATATGCACACTCTTCAGCATTATTTTACTTACTATTTTCATTTCATTAGACTCGTATACAAAATAACTCACCCCTAATAAATATTAAAGTATCATACAAATCAGATTGAAAAATATCTTTAAGTTTATTTAATGTTAGCTCTGCTGCAAGTTACCAAAAAAAAAAAAAAAAGAAAAGAAGTGGGTGAGTTTTGGCGAGTCCTTCTAGAAGCACAAGCATATGTTCGTGAATTGGCGTATATCTGGATTGCAGTTTGCAGTAATTGCGTTAATAAATTAACGCCTTCCATGGGCTCTGTTTTTCTCTGCTTTTCCGAGTTGTATAAACTGCT